TGATTCAATGTTGTTTCAATCATTCTGTGCTATCTGGGTAGTGGAGGAGGAAGAGGAGAGGATGATGACGGGATGAAGAAGATCAACACTGTTCACAAAGTTTATAATTAATGCAATGGTTTATTTTAATGGTCCAAATTTCCATCAAACCTCAACAATTATTTTATAAAAACAGTCAAAGATCCTAAAAGGTGAATTATGGAGCAGCAGCTCAATGAGTGAAGAGAGTTTAAAGTTTAAAAAGTCTCTCTGGCTGATTGGATCTTAGAGGAAATAGACATTTTCTAGAGTTCAGGGTTTTCTATTCATTTCAACCTGAAAACTGATAAAAAGTTAAATATTTTTAAAAGATCAAAATGTCTAAAAACCAGAAGCTGCAGCTGTCCTGGATGAACTGAATGTTTAGATGTTTGAATGGCTGAAATCATCCAGAGGATGAAGGAAGTAGTTAAAGGCCAAAAACATCCAGAATCAACTTGAAGAAAGAAGAAGAAACAGGAGGACAATAGTGCTGAATCAGCATTCACACAATGAAAACATCTGGACTCACCGAGCCTTTCTGCAGTTCCTCACAGCTGGAACCAGTCTCAGTCGTCCACCTGGTGATGTGTTGTACTTCTCCAGGTCCAACTCATCCAGAACCTCTGACATCTGCAGCATGAAGGCCAGAGCTGAACAGTCAGTCACTGAGAGCTCCTTCCCTGAATCCAGCAGCCGTTGGATCTCCTGATAAAATGAGACGTCGTTCATCTCCACCAGACAGTAGAAGATGTTGATGCTTCTGTCAGCAGAGATTCTATCAGTGTTCATCTCCTTCAGGTTGGTGATGATTCTCTGGATGGTTTCTGGACGGTTCTCTGTCTGACCCAGCAGATCTTCTAAGAGTCTCTGGTTGGACTCCACAGTGAGACCATGAAGGAAGCGGACAAACAGGTCCAGGTGGCCATTTTTACTGCTGAGGGATTTCTCCATGACTTTCTTCATGAACTCATCTAGAGATGTTTCATTGTATTCTTCTCCCAGGAACGTCTTGATGACCTCTGACCTCCTGCTGGTGAAGCAGTGGAGCATGTAGACGGCAGCCAGAAACTCCTGGATGCTCAGATGAACAAAGCAGTAGACTGATTTCTGGAAGATCACACTCTCTCTTTTGAAGATCTCTGTACAAACTCCTGAGTACACTGAGGCCTCTGTGACATCCAGACCACACTGCTCCAGGTCTTCTTGGTAGAACATGATGTTTCCTTTCTCCAGATGTTCCAACGCCAGCCTCCCCAGCTTCAGAAGAACTTTCCTGTCAGCCTTCATCAGCTCCTGTGGACTTGTCTCATGTCCTCCATGGTACTTGTTCTTCTTCCTTTTTGTCTGTACCAGCAGGAAGTGTGAGTACATGTCAGTCATGGTCTTGGGCAGCTCTCCTCTCTGCTCTGAGGTCAACATTTTCTCCAGAACCATAGCAGTGATCCAGCAGAAAACTGGGATTCCACACATGATGTGGAGGCTCCTGGAGATCTTGATGTGGGAGATGATTCTGCTGGACAGCTCTTCATCACTGAACCTCTTCCTGAAGTACTCCTCCTTCTGGGCGTCGGTGAAGCCTCGTACTTCTGTTACCCTGGAAACACATGAAGGAGGGATCTGATTGGCCGCTGCAGGTCTGGTAGTTATCCAGATGAGAGCCGAGGGAAGCAGGTTCCCCTTGATGAGGTTTGTCAGCAGAACATTGACTGATGACTTCTGTGTGACGTCAGAAACCAGCTGACTGTTGTTGAAGTCCAGTGAAAGTCTGCTTTCATCCAGGCCATCAAAGATGAAGAGCAGTTTGCATTTAGCCAGCTGCTCTGCTGGGAGCTTCTGGAGTGTTGGGTGGAAAACATGGAGAAGCGAGAGAAGACTGTGGTGCTCATCTCTGATCAGGTTCAGCTCCCTGAACGAAAGCAGAACCACCACACTGACATCTTGGTTCTCCGAGCCGTCGGCCCAATCCAGAGTGAACTTCTGCACTGAGAAGGTTTTTCCAACACCAGCGACGCCGCAGGTCAGAACCACTCTGATGACTCCATCTTGGTCAGGGAAGACTTTAAAGATGTCATGGCACCTAATTGCAGAGTCATGATGCTTCTGGATCCTGGAAGCTCTCTCCAGCTGCTTCACCTCATGCTGGGTATTAACCTCTTCACTCTGACCCTCTGTGATGTAGAGATCAGTGTAGATCCTGTTGAGGAGGGTTCTGCTTCCTGTTACATCACTTCCTGTTACATCACTTCCTTCAGTCACACATTCACATCTCCACCTCAGACTGATCTTATGTTCCTCTAGAACCTCCTGCAGAACAACATCTGCTGAAACAAAGAAGAAAAAACTCAAGTAAAATA